GGGTTGGGGGACACAGGGAAGGAAGTATAACAGAGAAGACAAGTGATGATTCTAGAGCATCTTACTATGCTGATGGACAGTGACTGTAATGGGGTATGTGGGGGGGACTTGATAATAGGGGGAGTCTAGTAACCATAATGTTGCTCATGTAATTGTAGATTAATAATACCAAAAAAAATGCTAATCATCATCTGAGCTTCCAGCAAGTCATAATCACTGATTAGAGATCACCATAATAAATATGATAATGAAAACGTTTGATTATGACATGGGGTAGACATTGTAGCACAGAGAAGACAAGTAGTGACTCTGTGGCATCTTACTACACTGATGGACTGCAGTGGGGTATGGGAGGGCCTTGATAATATGGGTGAATGTAGTAACCACATTGTTTTTCATGTGAAACCTTCATAAGAGTGTATATGAATGATACCTTAATAAAAAAAAAAGACTCATAGACACTGAGAAGTGACTAGTGGTTACCAAGGGGGAGGGGTTGGGGTGGGTGAAGGGGGGTGGGGTGGTAGGTATAAAGGGGCACAATAATTTGCAATCACAATATAAGTTTATCACAGGAACTGTTGAAGCACTGTGATGTACATTGGAAACCAACATAAAATTGTATTAAAGATTGTTTAATTTTTAAAAATCCACTTAGGAAAATACGTTTGATTATGAGAATTACAAAATGTGATATAGAGACATGAAGTGAGCAAATGCTTGTAGAAAAATGACACCAATAGACTTGCCTAAATCAGGGTTGCTACAGACCTTCAATTTGTAAAAAATGCAATGTCTGCAAAACATAAAGCAAGACAATAAAAAAATCTATGCCTATACTTTGCAAAGGGCTTTAAATAGAGAAGATATTATGGTCTCTATTGGGTATGGGAAGAAGCTGAGACTCAGAGAGATAGGAAAATTGCTTCAGATCACGTAGGCCATAGTAGAGGAGTCAGGTTTCCAACCCAGCTGCCAGATTCCAGCTGTGGACCACTTAATCTGTGTGCTGCTTTGGCTTAGGCTCCTCTCTCTACCACTCACTGTGTTGGCCTTGCCATTCCCAGGGGCATGTAAGCCTCCTCTTGCACAGCACGAAGGCAAGACCATTATTCTGCATCCTACAGTGCTTAGTGCTAACTCCTGCCTTTCCTGTCCTGCATGCAAGGTGTCCCTTAGACCAGACCTGACTCGTTTCTTTTTCCTTCGTAACATCCAGTACACTACCTTCTCTCCATAGGGTTTGATTTATTCCACAGTCTCCCATATATTAACTCTGACTTCTTGGTGTGTTTGTTTTACTAAGGGCCAGCTTTATAGATGTCAGTAGGACAGAATTGATAACCTTACTCAGATTAAGTCACATGAGATTGATAAGATCTCCCTCCAGGATTTTTTGCACATAGGACTAACTTTAATATTGTTCACAACCATGAAGGCAATGTGGCCACAGGGGCACTGAGTTTTTAAAAAGCTAAACTAAAAAAATAAGGGTAAGCATTGAGCATGATTACA